GCATGATACAATAACTTTTAGTAAGGTAGTTTCACTTCTTCTTCTTATCCGCCTTCTTAGCTATCTGATGGAATACGTGTCAAGTATTTTTTGTTGTACCAACTTTTTCAAAAAAAACTCCAGCTTTTGACGTTGGAAAAATAAAACAAAGGAAAGCCAAACATATAACTAGAGAAATTTTCCAATATTTTTTAATAATTTTCTTCATAAAAAAAATTAACTGCTGCTTCCGTGGATATTGCAACACACGGAATAGATGTAAGGATGCAGCTATAAGAGCCACCGCACACCACAGACTTTATCGGCCGCCTATTTAAATAGTAGGGCTCGCTTGAAATATGTACATGAAGATGTATGGAGGTGCGCAGACTGCACCAGCTTAATCGCTCCGACCAATTAGTTGTGGTGCGATGGTTCTAAAACATTTTAAACAAGAAATATTGCCGTTATATTTTAATTTTTATGATTTTTATTCATGTGATTACAGGTGGCAAAAATGTATGTATTAAATACGTACGGACGTATTAAAAATGAAGTGATCACTTATGAAACATATAAATCTTTACATGTTCTGTTAAGAAATATCTAAAATAACAAGCGAAAATCCCCAAGTTCTATATCGTAGTGGCTACATTGCGTGTTTGTCACAGACACGGTTTATGTCAAAAATTTTGAAGTGAAACTACCTTCTAAAAATTATATTATCATGGTATGTAGGTATGTAAATACAAGTGCTGCCATATTAGCTATTTTCCGGCTAGATTTAGTTTTTTATTTAGGTTTAGCCGGAAAAATCCTGTTTAGCTTATAGCTTTTTTAAGCTTTTTCTTAAAGTTATTTAGCATTTTTTAGCTTTTTACTTTTGCTCAAAATATTAACTGCGAGCCCTCATTTTGGTAATATCCCCTTCTAATATGTATACAAATATTCAAATTCATCTGCATCTAAACGCACCTGTTTAGCTGAGGGCGAGCGGGAGACCAGGTTTAGAGTTGTGATCCGAGTTAGAGTAGAGTAGAGGAGCTAATGAGTCCATATGGTTTATAGATGCACATCAAGTAAACCACGCACTTCATATGCCTGATATGCGAGAGAGAGAGAGAGATATACGGGCAGACCGATGAAGCGGTAGCGCATGATGTGACCTTTTTACCATGTATAAATTAAAGGACTCCATTGAAGTAGTGGTGGCAAACTATCGATGACACTATCGATAGTATCGATGGGACGTCACTATCGCAACTATCGATGGCGACCACTATCGGCCATATTTGAAGTTCGATACTATCGAGGAATTTCTATATATATGTATGATTTTTATGTACCATATCTATGTTGAAAAGCGTTTGTGTGAAATTTTTTATAATACTCGTGCGGGTAGTGTAACAAAATATGGACAAATATCTAACTCATAATGTAAAAGGTAACGTGTTTGTTATAGATATGTTTATATTGCATGTGTTTCATTATATGTAATACCTCTACAGAAAACTAGAGCTTAAGTCATGAAATTTTTTGTAGAAAAAAAAGCTCCACTTAAAATCATAAAAGTAAAAATGTTAAAGTTTAATAAGTAAATAAATAAGTAAATTAATGAACATTTTATAGTGTCGCTACATATTTTTCTTTTAAAGCTTATTAATTTTTTTATAAAAGCCCAGCTTACCGTCTAACGAAAACCATGTAAATCCCAATTTCAAACTTTGTCCACTAATTAATAAAATTCCTCACAGTTTCACCAAAATTTCAAACCTTAGAATCAGAATTTTGAGAAAAATGTTTGGTAAGCAATTTTATAGTCCAAATTTTAGTATAATAAACAGTGTCACGCATTTTCTTCTATATAAAGAAGTTCGTTTTTATATGGAAGAAAATGCGTGACACTGTTAGCAAAAAAATTGTAAAAAATCAACGAGATCCTTTAGCAACTTGAAAAATTATTTAAAAAAATTAATTCATATAACCTTCAAACGTAATTTTTACATGTCTTTTTGCTGCATTCAAATTAAAAAAATTCATCCACACTATCGAGACTATCGACGGCAGCGCGCTATCGGAACAAATGACTATCGGTACAATCGATAGTGACCCAAAAAACTATCATCAACTATCGATGGGGTCCACTATAGATAGTTTGCCACCACTACATTGAAGGAGTCATGCTCTAGCTGCCGTAGGCTGCTGTGCAATGAGTTGCGATTTATTCAGGGATGAATTCATGCAGNTTCAAATTAAAAAAATTCATCCACACTATCGAGACTATCGACGGCAGCGCGCTATCGGAACAAATGACTATCGGTACAATCGATAGTGACCCAAAAAACTATCATCAACTATCGATGGGGTCCACTATAGATAGTTTGCCACCACTACATTGAAGGAGTCATGCTCTAGCTGCCGTAGGCTGCTGTGCAATGAGTTGCGATTTATTCAGGGATGAATTCATGCAGAGTAGGGATGCGCGATACCGATACGATATTCAATATATCAATATCGTTGTTCAAAATATCGGTTAATTTATATCGATATCCGGTTTTGCGATACGATATCGATACAATATTTTGTTTCGATATTTGAATTATCGGAAACTTTTCTTTACGTTCTCTAGGCTTCTGAACTGAAAATAAAATTGAGTACATAGTTGGAAAATGTGTTCGTTCTCGCAAAATAGCATTTGGCATAGTAACCTTGAAGAACAAAAATTCATAAAAATATTAAAATTTCTTAAATCAGTTTGCAATCAATCCTCAAGGAATAAGTGCTCGTAAATTTATTTCTTCAAGAAAATCTACAGCAAAGGTAAAATACTTCTTGCATAAAAATAATACTAGCTAACCAAGACAAACCAGAGCTACTGTAACAAACAAATTCAATTGATCATGAAATTTTGTATACCGAACAAAAACTTAAAAATTCTGTTTCTTGAGGTCATATGGAAAACCAATTGAACGGTACTATTTGTACTTCAGATTTAGAAAAACATATGTACATATGAAAAGGCGTGTCTCTTTGAAAGTACTAGACTTGCTTGTGAAGAGGGGTAAATCAAAGTTGCTGAACTCTGGTTACTATTTTTTCAAACTCATTAAAGTGCATCTTATCCAAAGTAACTTCGGTATTTGAATTTATGCATATTTGCCTTTTAATTACAAATATACGTAGTGCGCAAAAAAATACGATAACGATAAAAAACTGAGTCGTTTTAATAGCAACGATTGCTTTTGTTGATAAACACTAAAATTAACGTAACAATGCATCTTTGCTACCATGTCAAAAATTACACCGGGAGTGGAGTGTGAGCGATGCTTATACGATGTTTCCACGTTCCGTAATTCGCTCGCTAAGTAATTCGTGAATTACCCTGTTTCCACGACACACATTAGTAATTCGTTTGGCAGCTCTAGTTCTTGTTCTTGTTCTTCGCTATTTATTATTATTTTTGTGTACTGCAAATATCAAAGATGGAGCTAAAATTTAAGTTATCATCAACAATTTTAATTTATATAGAGAATATTTTATTAATATTATTATATAACTAGAAAAAGTGCCAGAAAATGGGACCAGGCCGGTGAAAATTTCGATATCTTTCCGATAAATATTAGAGAAGGCACCAATTGCTTCGTCATTCGCATGGTAATTCGATCTGAATTACCTACAAATGAGGTAATTCGCTCTCAAGATTTTGTATGGCGAATTACGTAATTCGGAAGGTAATTGGCAAGGGGAATGACAAATGGGAGAGCAAATTACGAATGAGAGAGCGAATTACGAATCGTGGAAACGCCGTATTAAAGCATTGACCATTTTGATGAGTCAAGCTGGGTTAGCGTTGACCATGGCGGGAAATGCCAGCGATTTATCACTTCACTTTGTTCGGCGAGGAGAGATTTGAGAATTGCAATATGTGTGTATGTTCGCTGCTCTTTGTTTATGTGGGTATGCATAAGTCGCTTAAACAGCACCCTTTCAAATGATACTCGGGGCTCGAAAAAGTATGCTTTGCTATGATGAAATACAAAACGCAGACGTTTGTATTTTCCCTCGCCCTATTCAAGATCACTGTATTATTTCCCAGGCAGAGTTGGAATTGAGGAAGCAATCGAATGTCTGTGAAGACTGAAGTAGAGGTATGCACTGCGAACAAGGAATTTATATTGGCCGAATGTCTGTGAAACTCCACGACCTTGGTAAGGGAATTTTCCCCGGTCAGACTCATTTGGGTACCAGGCGATATTGATATTGCAGGGAATCGAGTTGGGGAGAAGTTGGCCAGGAAAGATACCCTCGAGTTGTACTCACCGGGTAAAGAGTGGGAGTACTTTCTCTTCGGTAATCTTATTGAGAGGGTACTAAAGTATTGGTTTTCACGCGATGGGCCCAAATATCCCGCCGAATCGTCACTGTTTACAGAACAATGGGGTGGAATCAAAACTTTGTCTTAAGCTGCCTAGATTTTGGACTTAAGTACAAAATAAGCTTTTTCTTACAAGAATGCATCATTTTTCTTATCTATCTTAAACATTGACATTCTTACAAGAATGCATAATATTTCTTATCTATCTTAAACATTGACACTGTTGTGAAATAATAGAAACAACCATAAATATTTGATTTGTCAATTTAGCTATTTTACTTAGCCATAACTAAAATTTTTATTTAGCTCTTTTAGCTTTATTTTTTTGTTCATTTAGCCTTTTCTCTGAAAAAGTTCTGGCAACACTGGTAAATACGAGTATAATTTTCCGTCATCCCTTGTCAAATTTGGTTTGGAGACAAACCGGTTTCGGCGTTGTGCCATCTTCAGTGTCATTTTTCGTTCTCAGAGAACGAGCAGGAGGATAGCAGAGAACGAAAAATGACACTGAAGATGGCACAACGCCGAAACCGGTTTGTCTCCAAACCAAATTTGACAAGGGATGACGGAAAATCGTTCCACATTACATCACACTCCTACCCTGTCGGAAACACCAACAACAAAAATGAGAGTATAATTTTCGTTTTCATTGCACCACATCGATTTCATCTTCATTCTCACTCATTTCACCACATGACGAATCGTCGCTGGAAAAGCCATCCGGCAAGTGCTTTCCGTCGTTTGTAGCTCGCATGCTATCCTCCTGCTGGGCAATCGACGAGGCGCTTGCATTACTTGCCCCACTGTTTGCTGGCGAAGCAATTTGCTTTTCTTGACCACATTTCAGATTTTCTCGCGTATGTCGCCATTTCATGCGACGATTTTGGAACCAAACTTTCACCTAAAACAAAGGAAAATTTCATGGCTAAGACATTAATTTAAAACATCTTAACTAACCTGCGCATCAGTCAGGTTAAGTCGCGCTGCCAGCTTCCGGCGATCGGGTTTAGTGATATATTTCTGCTGTTGGAATTGTATTTCAAGTCCTTTTCGTTGCAAATTACTAAAAACAGCACGCGACCAGGAGCGTTTTCGCTTTCCATTGCCTCCACTACCGCTAGTGGCATTATTGTTGTTCATACTGATGTTGCTACCACTCGCGGTCGTTAGTTGTAATTGTGTGGGTGTGGTGTTACCTGCTGCATTATTTGATGACATACTAATATTTTGCGCCACATGGTGAGGATGCTGCTGCCGATGATGGTTAATCAGGCTGGCGGTACTCATGGGAATATCCATTAGTTGATGTGCATGTGTTTTTAACCCAGTAAACCGTGCCGTCAATGTGGGTGGTGCGAAGCGTTGTGCACTCAATGAAGCGTTAGGGAACGACTTGAGGCCAAGATTACCGGCGGTATTAATAGTACCACCTAAATTTTGGAGTAAACCAGGCGGGACGCCAAACATTTGTGAATGTGTTGCATTCGATTTTTGCTGTTGTTGGAAGCGCAGGAGAGCTGAGGTAGCCAGACTGGAGTATGATGTATGGGCTGGTGCTGTAATAAATAAGCAAAACTGATTAGCACTTTTAATTTTAACCATTAAAAAGTAAATAAGAGAAAATTGTAATCATCCAAAAAGGGTAAATTTGGTATAGACGGCTAAAGTTCTTAACAGTGCCATTAAGTTCTGTAAGTCGAAGACTATGTGTAGCAATTGAAGTATGTATTTGTGGCAGAGTACTGCAAACTGGGTATGGATATAAATATGTACGGCTGACTTCCAGAACGTCAATTGCTTTGCATCCGTACAAAGTAAGTATAATGTTCTTTAATGCCGAACTACAAAATGTTGGCAATGGGCCATATGCATAAAAACTAAACAATTTCTTTTACTTAAAATTTCATACCTTTCACTTAAATTTATTTGAACAAATCGAGTAAACTGTCTGAAATGTTAAGAAAAAGTATTTGCTTAGTTTTTATGCATACGGCCCAATGAAAAAATTTCCAAACCTTATCTGAAAAGTTATCGAAACGCTTCGCTAGAGTAATCAGCGCATAAGAAGCAAAGTTTATGCTTCGTTTTGGTTACTATTAGCGTTTTAAAAATGTAAAATTCCAAAGGAGTGATTATTGTTATACATATTAAATATTATAATATGCAATATTTCGCAACTCTGCATATACAAACAGTTTAAATAACGCAGTAGAACAATCAGGCCCGTCGGGAGGGAGGGGTCAAAGGGGTGAATCCCCCCGGGCCCGAGCTTTTTAAGGGACCTGAAATATCAGAACCATAACTTCTCATTGCTTTTTTTACAACGCTTTTATCAAATTGCGATGTTGTGTGTCCAGACACCATTTATAGTTAAAACTTTTGCTTTGCAAAGATCCTTTAAAAAGTCTAGACATCAACCTCGTCGGTTGGTATCATATTCAAACTCTAGAGCTAGATCTCGCGTCGCCGGAAGTAGTTATCACCCCTATGCTGTAATCCGAATGTTCGTTGCTACGAATTTGTAGCTCCGTACCGAAAATTCGAAAATTGGTATGCTGTAATCCGATCGTAACTATCAGCGGCACTGCCAGCTAAAAACGTGAAATTCGAAGTTCTTAATCAGCTGCTTTGACAGAAACAAATCAAAATAAATATAATCGCAAGTGAACAGTGAAATTAAAAAAAAAATAGTTTAATCATTATTTGAAAAGACTTTTTCTTAATTAAGTAGAATACAAAGGATGCAGTGGCCGGTGCACTTTTGTCCCAGGAGGAAGGACAGCTAACAGTTGCATTAATATACAAAGAAGATTGTTCTGATCCATTTAGCTTAAATGATAAAATGTAAGCTCCCTCCTTTTAAGGGCCTCCATTTCACTAGATATTGTGCCGCTTTAATTCTTGGAGCGCTTTACCAAAATTCCACCACATCCTCTTTAACTACTTTTACAAAGCCTCGACCAATGTTCGGCCTTTCGCTCATGCATTCCACCAGTTTTTAATATTACGAGCGATTTGTTGTGATCTTCGATCTGATAATTTTGTAAACAATTAAAAAAAAATTTATTTTGTTCTATTCACACTTCAACTTACATTTTTGCGTTTACACCCTTTATTTTATTGATATTTTAAAACAATTTATTTCGCTCCGACACGAGTTGCTATTCGTACAAAATTTCTGACAAATGCATCAAAATGACAGCTACGTCGGATTCACGCATACCAATATTACGAATTTCGAAGATGGCCTACGAATTTTACGATTCGTAGCAAAATCGAATCTACGACTGATTACAGCATACGGGTGTATATCTTGCGCCAAAAATATGCACTATATTCGCTACAGCGGAAATTGATGACACGCCATTTCTTTAAATGAAATTAATTGCTGCTATATGTATGTATGTACATTAGCGTAATCCAAAAATGCATGTGAAAAGTAAGGTCAGAATTTTTATGCTCTTACCCCCTACGATTGTTCTATACCGAAAAAATATACCCATGTTTTTTTATTTTGAAATCAAAAAATATGTAGAGGTCGCTCAAAGCGCTGAAAGTTTTGCATGTATTTTTATATGGGGAAAAAACAACTTTTCATAGAAATGGTATAGAATTCAGATTCAGATAGATAGCAGATTCCCAATAACAATACCCGATTGTCTATTTAACCATTTTTTCATCGCATTGGGGGGACCAATAAAAATTCGTTTGTATTAAAAAATGGTTAAATAAATAATTGGGTATTGTTATTGAAAGTCTCCTGAAGAGAACCAGGGCTTTCCGATCGAAAAATATTGATTTTAAAGGATTCTATAAAATTTCTACGAAAAGTTTTTTTTCCCCATAGCGACCTCTAAGTTTTTTTCTTGATTTCAAAATAAAAAATAGGGGTATACTTTTTTCGATATAGTACATTACAATTACGACTTTACTGTTTTTGGACCACCTTAATGTACATACATATGTATGTATATACTAAACGTGAGCACAAAATATTTTGCTTGCATAGTCTCCTGTTCTCTTTTCAATGCAAGTTGAATTATTTTAATATCTATTGCAAAATATTATACAGACAAGACTAAAGAGTAGAAAATAAACAAATTAAAATAACTTTTTAATATACCACGCTTTTATAAATGGACTAAAAAGTAGAAAATAATATTTCTCAGTCCCATAGAATTTGTTTTGATAACTTTTGATTTTGAAATTTTAGCAAAAGTCATTATAAACAATTTATGAGATTGAAAATGAAAATCGTGGGGCGCACGTAATAGACTTGAATTGATATGAAAAGTAATATATGTATGTATGTGGGTATATTAATAACGACCGCTTAAAATCGATCTCCAATTTGTACTTGCTCTTTAGAAATTTTAAGTCTATGTTATGTAGTTTGACTATTGTCAATTAAATCTAATGCTTTCATATATGTAATACTCCTATATTGGCAGTAAGAGCTAGTACCGTCCGAAAACACTACAGTACAGATATATCAATAAACACGTACGAAAGTAAAGGAACACATACGTTTATTAATAAACATGTACACAACACATATACAACAAGTAATTTTTAGCAAAAAAAACCGACTTCAACTCTCATATAAAAAAAAAAATATATATATATATATCTCATGATCCGCTGATCGTCTCCAATGCAGTTAAAGAATGCGTAGAATTTTCGTCACGAAATTGATATCATAAATTTTGTGTATCTAGTTCAGCTTTCGTCACTAGAAAATTTTACCTCAAAGAGATGTTTTATTTGATATATTTATGCACTATATGGACATCCAATGTGCTTACAACTTATACCGTTTTCTTTTCTCGAAAAAAGGCTGCACTTATTCTGCCTTGAGTTAGCGCTGTCAAATTTTCATGTTCTTTTCTCAGCCCTTTCACAAGGCGTCGTGTTCTTTTCTCAGCAGGTTGCGCTCTGATCCGGAAAAACTGCTGCCTTTTCAGCCCTCAAATAAACGTGAGTGGGAGAGTTGCACGGTTGATTTTTAATTTACGCTTGTAAAATTACAATTTTCCGTATCAGAAATAAGTATTTGCTTTAAAATTACTAAAGACTTACAGGCCATGTGAATAATTCAGCTTTATTAAGTTCTATAAATAAATTGTGATGGAGTAGTATAATTTCTGTTTCATTCCCATATAAAAAACGCAACATTTTCTGAGGTTTCAGGGCACCGCAAAGCAATAGTTCCCACATAAAATGGCAGAACTTTTTTTGAGAAAAGAAAACGCTATTAGTTTCAATTAAACTTAACTAGAAACTACATATGTATGTAGGGTGACCAGACGTTCTGTTTATCAAGACATGTCCTGTTTTCAGAGTGGAATTAAAGTGTCCTGACTGATTGCCTTATTTTTACTAAGATGTCCTTTAATAAACATTTTACTGAGTAATCATATTGCTAGGCGCTGTTTGTATATCGTTATTTTAATAATAATAATAATAGATTGGCGCTTACACATATGTTAGTGTTTGGCCGAGCTTCTCCTCCGATTTGTGGCGTGCGCCTTGATGTTGTCACACAAAGCGGAGGGACCTACAGTTTTACGCCGACTCCGAACGGCGATTGTATTTTTATGAGAAGCTGTTTTTCATGGCAGAAATACACTCGGAGGTTTGCCATTGCCTGTCGAGGGATGACCGCTATTAAGAAAAAACCTTTTTTCTATATTTTTTTGCGATGTTGCTTTGACCAGGGCTTGAACCCAGGCGTTGCGGCGTGGAAGCGCGCACTGCTTACCACTACACCACTAATATATAGTGACCCAGATGTTAAAGCTGAAGCTTCATAGCAGGTTTTTCAGGCATTGCGGCGAAAAATCCATATAAAATGGCGTGCAAGAAATGGCTAAGATATTTTCTTGTGTCAAATTTCCTTAAGGCAGTACGCAGTTCTTAAAAAATTTTCTACGCTTTCTACTACGGTTTTCTTAAGTTTTTTGTAAAAAAAAGAGCACAAGGCAACCCATATTTGCAACAGAAATAAATGCCCGATCCATTATTTCTTGAGGAAAGAGTGAGGCAACAGGCTGTGAAGTATCATAAGTCGAAACTCCTTAGGCACACATACGAAATAAGCTTAGTATCCAGCTCTTAAGAAAACGGTAAAAAAAGTTTGCCATGGTCCTGCAGAAAAATTAAAACAAGGGCACTTATTAAATCTATTTTTTATGTTATGATCAGGAACCGATTTTATGGAAATTGTCTTTTTTTCTCCTAAGGATATAGAGTATATTCCATTAAGAATGTCCACGACTTAGCTTTCCCTGATTCAAGACATACACATTTGATGTTGCCCTTTTTTGCCTTTTTAAGATATTTGCATATTTTTGCCTTTTCTGCCTTTAATTGTAAGGGGCAAGGAAAAAGCCTTTATTTCTGATGATATAAAAGTTTTAAACGTTCCATATTTAAATTGGACGCCACTTGTTACAACTCACGTCGACCGCACCTTTAGTACATTCAAGGCTTTTTTCCTGAGAATCGAATGAAAATGCTGCCAGAAAACTTCATAATGCATCTTGTGGTTCCATGTTACTACAACTATAGGGATTAACCCTAGAATACTAACCTTATTTTTT